AGGGAGGTCTCCCTGAGATCCAATCAGAGCCCTGGAAAAGATGCAGAGTAACACAAAGAGAATGAAAGAAGTACATAATCTTGAAACTATAAAAGAAGGATGGCTTTATGAAACAGGAGCTGACAATCAACCTCTTAGTGATAGCAACAAAGGAATTTTGAGTATTTTGTTGAAGTCCTTTTTGAAGATGCTCCAAATGTTGGAGCCAAATGCTTATCCCTCATTGGACATCAACAGGTAGATATAAGTATAAAATTAAAGAAAAATTGATTCACAGTGATGATTTTATTTTTGTTTTTGAGACAGACTTTTGATATGTAGTCCAGCTCCTCGAACTCAGGGAAGTCCTCCTGCCTCAGCCTCCCAAGTGCTGGTTACAGGTGTGTGCCACCACACCTGGCTCAATGATAATTTTAGAAGTTACTCTGATGGTGCAAGTTAGCAGGGTTTGAACTCCATCAAAAAGTGGGGGGGAATATCTTCAGAATTACATGGAAATTTTGGTGGACAGAATAGATGTTGAAATTGAATGAAAAATGAAGCATGTTTTTCTACAGAGCCTGCATTTCAATCCTTTTCAGGGCAGGATCACAGACTGGGAAGTGCCACACCGAAAATTGTTTCTAAAATAAAGACTAATAAAGTTGAAAATAAACATACTTTGTCAGTTGTTTCACTGAGCAACTTGAAACTCAACATTAATATACAGATATGGTTGGCCAATGGGAAAAGAATTGTCCAAACATTTAATTTTTCTTACAGGGTAAGCCACATCAAAGGCTTCATTGAAAAATACTGTGAATATCAAAGTAGTCTTCCCTTTTCCCTGGCAACAGCTCTTTCCTCAAGTTGCTGGATGAAACACTCACTCTGGAAGAGGTAGATTTACAAAATGCTATAATCATTCAGAGACAAAAAAAAAAAAAAAAAAAAAAAAAAAACAAAAAAAAAAAAAAAAAAAAACAAAAAAAAAAAAAAAAAAAAACAAAAAAAAAAAAAAAAAAAAACAAAAAAAAAAAAAAAAAAAAAAAACAAAAAAAAAACAAAAAAAACTTGAAGCTTGCCCAAACATTAAGAGAACTTTCATGGTATTGGTTTTTGAGAGGCTACGTAGAAATTTTGCAGAAAAATGAAAGGTTTTCTACCTTCAATCTTGAAGTAAACATACAAAAGTAAGAGAAAGGAGAAGTCAGTTTGCTGTACTTGGGTTCCAGTGATATTTAATTCTCTCCTGATGAGGGGATTTGTAATAATTACAAGTTAAGAGAATAACATATTGACCTAGAAGATTAGCATCTGGCAAAACTGGTTGGGGAAGTGAGCCTGGTTAATTACAAGATCCCAGATACATGTGCAGAACCCAAAGTTCTCCCCATGGACTTCTCAAGAGAACTCAGGGTTTCAGTAGCATGGCCTAGACCTGAGGCATGGGATCCCAGTACCACCTCTCAGGACCCATATGTACAAGTTCTTGCAGGTTTCTTTGATATTTGGGTAGTATAAAAGGACACAGATGCCAAGAAGAGTTTGCTATCCTGGCTTTCCTCATGATAGCCCTCCTTGCTTTCTCTGGGGTGTACTTCAATCTTGCTTTTTCCTCTTTTACTTGGCCCACTGCCACTCTGCAGAGCCAATTTCACTCTCACTCTATACTTTTTCAAATAAACTTTGTCACTATTATTATTATTATTATTTTGCTTGTTTCATTCAGTTCTTTGTTTGACATGAGAAGGACCTGGAACCTCCATCTAGGAGAGGCGAGCAACCCAGAACTCGGTAATGTTTATTTAACAAGCCACTTTTAGAAGGAACTACCCAATAACAATATGACTGGAAGCCATATTCACCAGAACTTTTTTCTAGATGGCTACTCAGAAAGAAAAATACACTGGATTTTCAAATACCAATTAATCGATTTAAAATATATTAAACAGCCATATTTTTTTAGAATTTTAATATTGTGATTAAAAATGTTCACAGCATCAGTTGGAAACTGGATAAAGAAGATGTGGTTTTTCTATAAAATGGAATATTACTCAGCCATAAAGAATGAGAAAATAGATTCATTCATAGGAAAATGGATACATATTGAAGATATACTCCTAAGTGAAATAAATAAGTCACACATGTGTAAATACCGAATAGTTTCCCTGGTGTGAATAATCTGCAACAATGCATAAGATCCTAATAAGATTACTGACATTTAGAAATGGGAAGAAAGGAGCTAAAGGTGTAGGGAAGGTGGGATGGGTAGGGGAAGAGTAAAAAGGGAAAAGAAAAAAATGTGAGAGAATGAAAAGATGAAAATAAAGTGTTTGTAGATGGGGAGGGGAGGAGGGGGGGAAGGGAGGGCAGAGGTAAGGGGAAAAAATGAGAATCAAGACTTGTCATGTAGAAGTACAAGATCCCAACAATGAATGTAACTGTACTGTATCCCTAAAATGTACCAATAAACTCAATTAAAGCTGAAAAAAAAATGTTCACAGCATTAGTTACTCAAATATCATTTCCAAACAGCATGAATTTAAATAGTAGCTATCTCAGAATTTTTAAATAGGTATAGATTAAAAATTATATATGGTAGGTTAAAAGCACTAAGTAATTATTTTGTACCTCAGACATAATCAAAAGTCTGTGATGAGCTGGGTATAGTGGTACACAGCTATATTGTGAGTTCAAGGCCAGCCAGGGCTACATAGCAAATTCAAGTCCAGCCTACACAGCAAGACCCGTCTTAAAAACAAAGTAAGACAGGGCCAAGGATTTAGGTCAGTGGCATGGCACCTGCCTGGCAAGCGCGAGGTCCTGAGTTCGATCACTGGTACCAACAAAACAAAACAAAAATTCTGAGATGACCTGTTTTTACCATAGCTATGTGTAAACCTCAGCGTTTTCTCACTTTTCACTCTGCACTGGCAAGATATACTAAAATATTTATTTGGCTGCAATATGTAAGATGTATTTTCACTTAGGAACAAAATGTGTAGTTTAGGACATTAATCTTCATACCCACCTTTCTATTCTTTCTAAACTTTAAAAAATCATCATCTTCAAGAAGCCCATTATCCTTCCTTCCCCACCCCAAAATTAGGGATTTATTTTTAGCTATAATTTGGGATTAGCCATTCATTAGCTACTTAGAATACGAGAGTTAACCTTTGTATTGATCGAGGGATTATTTGGTGTAAAAACAAAGGGGGAGGGGAAAGGAAAATAGTTAATGGTAATGTATGAACCGTACTGATTTCTGGATTGAAAGAAATTATATAAAATAATGTGGAAAGAGCTGAGGACATTTTACTATGGCCTATATATATTTCCTACATACATTATATAAAATTGCTAATAATTGTAGGTATAAAGCTGATAATGTGACTATGTAGAAAAAAAATGAATTTATTTTTGTGGGATGTCCAGTTATAACACTAAAAAAAAATTGGAAGTAAAGTATTGCTATGATTCAAATGTGTCCTGCATAAGTTCACCTGTTAATTTTAGGCAAAGAACTGACAATGTGATTATGTGGTAAAAAATAAATTTATTCTTGGGGGATACTAAGTTACAATAGTAAGCAGAAAGTGTAAGTAAAATATTCCTATAGTTTGAATGTGTCCTACAAAAGTTTGTGCGTTGGACATTTGAGTGAGGCAAAGTACAAACAAAGAGAATAATAAAGGATAGATAGAAGAAGACAAGGAGATGAATTCATTGCAATATGAAAAAGTGCAAGGGATGAGGAGGAGGGGAAGGGGAAATAAGTAGAATAAAGATATGTCATGTACAGGAACCTAATAACTTCAATTACTGCGAACATGATACCCCATAACATGAGCTAAGACTAATAATATCAACAAGGATGAAAAGTGGGATCAGGGAATTGGAGGAGGAGGGAGAGAGAAGGAGGGGAGGAGAAAGGCAATTTTTAAAAAAAGAAACAAGTTGTGGTGTGTACATGTTCTCCAACATGACTGTACACTGCATGAACTGCAAACGTACTGATAAAATTTCTTTAAAATTTTAAGTTCATGTGTTGGAAATGTAATCTTCCAATTCATACGCAGGTATTTGAAGGTGGGGCCTTTGGGAGGTAATTAGGATTAGAGAAGCTCATGGGTGCAGGGTCTCCATCGAGGTGTTTAGTGATTTACAAGAGGAAGAGATTGGACTGAGCACAATCACTCCATCTCATCACATGATGCCCCCACCATATTATGATGAGGCAAGAAGGCCCTTGCCTGATGCCAACTACATGCCAGTGCCATACTCATGAACTCTTGGCCTCCAGAATTGCTAGCCAAGAAAACATATTCTTTATAAATCATCTGGTCTTGGGCATTTTGTTACAATAATAGGAAACAGACTAACAGAAATGTCATGATATTTGCAACATTTTTCCAATGGCTTAGCAAAAAAGTTACTTATAGACCATAATGTTTTTTATACACACACTAAAAGAAAATAGAGAGAGAAAAGGGTGAATTATTAATTATGATGATCTAGGTAAAAGGTATGAAATCCTCCATATCATTTTTCAACTTCTCTGTAGGATTGGGAAACTTCACAATTAAAAACAATTTGGAGCACCAGACTGCCTCGCAAGCACAAGGTCCTGAGTTTGATCCCTGGTATCAAAAAAAATAAAAAAACAAAATAACTTGGAGAAATTATACCTGTTTTCTCTGACTAAAAATATTATGTGAAGGTATTACATTTTCATTTCGTTTTCAGTTGAGTATATTGTAGCCTACCTTTGTAATTATTTTAACCTTCGTTGTTTTGTTGTTTTTCAGTTTATTCAAACTATTTCATTTTAGTTCTTTAATTTTGGGCAATTTTCAAGCTCTAGATAAAACTAATATGCCTTGGGTGGAATTAAGCTGATTTTCTGAGCCAAGAGGACATCTGCAAACATGTTAAAATATGGTTGTTGTTCTTTGAGACAGGCTGGCCTCAAACTTGCTATGTAACCCAGGCTGGACTTGAACTCATGATCCAGCTTCCCAAGTGCTAGGATTACAAGCATGTACCACCATGCCTGGCATATTAACAATCTTTTAGAGTATAACCCATTCAGACTGGTGAGCTCCTCCAGTGTTACCCATTTTTCCCTCTTTGAGTGTGACACTAAGAAAAAAAAGAATGGAGGCTAAGAGGGAGGACAACAATTAACAAAAATCAATGCCTGGTTTGTTTGCATGTTTCACAGACTCATGGCCAAAATTCTCACAAGCTGTGAAGACAGCAGGATAGTGAGCTGTATTAGGAAAGCACAGCAAGTTTCTGCAGGCAATCCTTACCTTGGAACTTAAGATTACTTCCCACAATTGTTTATTTTTTTAAAAACCAGTAGTTTGCTTTGCCCTGTTGGCTGCTAACTTAGAAAATTCACATTTATAACCAGCCATGGCCAAGTTCACTTAAGCAATCTCTGTAAATCCATTAGTTAATGCTACTGAGAATCTTTATGGCCACGTGTTTCGTATTTTCTCCTCATATGCCCTCTTATTGTTCCTTTTGCCGTGGTGTTTCTTCTTATGGCAAATGTTGCCTTTGCTATTTTTCTTGGCTGCTTGCGCATTCATCCACTGCTTTACAGTATGACTGTGTGGGCTGATACAGATTCTTCTGCGCTTGACATGAAGGCTGCCAGGAAAGGAAGAAAAATAATCACTAATAGAAAATATGAACATACAAAAAATGAGTAATAAGTAGCTCCCATTCTTGGATGCTGCTTGTTTGTTTGTTTTTTACTTTACACACTCTGTGGCCCTCAGAGATCAGCAGCGGGAATTAGAATGAGGGAGAGGAAAGGAAGGAATTGGGTGAGGAGGAGGAGGAGGACGAGGAGGAAGAGGAGGGAAGCAGAAGATGAAGAAGAGGAGGAAGCAGAAGTGGAGGAGGAATGGAACAGAAGAAAAAGAGGAGAAACAACAATTAAAAACCAAAGGAAAACAAGCTTCACCCAACAAAACCAATTCATCCTCACTACCTTCTCAAACACATCCCTCTCTATAAAATTCTTCTGGAGCCTCTCAGCTAAATTTCTTCTTTTTTCCTTTTGCGTGTCTGTGGTTAAGGGTTACCTCTCTTGTGGCACTTAGTTTACTCTGTCTTTTTAAAAAATTATTTATTTATTTATTTATTTATTTCCACAGTTCTCGGGGTGGAATAGTTTTTTGTTGTTTTTTTGGTACTGGGTATCGAACTCGGGTCCTTGTGAGACAGGCAGTGGAACCACTGAGCTAAATCCCTGGCCCCAGTTTACTATGTCTTTGATCTGAGTACTTATCTCTCCTCCTGAAGTTATACTCCTTGAGAGAGGAATAGTCTAGGCATATCTTTGAAAAGGTCCATGTCCACAGATGGAATTTAGTAATTCCGTGAAGATATGAAGTGAAAATTGTTCAAAATACTGACAGTTTATTTTTAACAAAACAATCAACTACAACATTCTAGGCACTTGTTAAATTGAATATAATATGGATCCATACCTACAGCTCTGAATTTGTTTTCATTTTCATTTTTCTATATGAAATTTTGACAATAGTGTGGAAGAATCATCAGGCAGCATTCATAATTTCTATGTATCTAGAAGGATTTTTTGTTACATAAGGTGGTATGACTTTTAAGTCTCCTCTGGGTGCCAGCCAGCTCTGACGAAATGTTGCAAATCATGCTGGCTCTACATATATATTTCTGTGTCCTAATAAAATTGAAGGCTTTGGCCTTGTTATTCAGGGGGGAAAGTGTAAAAAGCAGAGTGCTGTTTCTCCATGAATGTTCCATGTTGAATTGTTTTCAGACGTGTGAGGACTCAAAATAGAGACAGAGAAGGGAAAGGTGTGAATGTGCTTTACCATACCAGCCTGTGGAGGAATGTTAATTTGAAAGAAATAAGAAACATCTTAAGAACAGTGCACATTCTCTAAGTATGTTAGATTGAGAGGGCTTCAAAAGAAAAGCTGATTTTCACTATGGCCAATTGGGTTGCTGATATGGAAGAAGACCTGGACATAGCATTGCTGCAGAGAAAAAAACCAAAAAACTAGGTGAATCCAGGCATGGTAGCTCACACCTATAATCCAAGCACCTAGGAGGCCAAAAGTTGGAGGCCAGCATGGGCCACCTAGTGAGTTCAAGGCCAGCCTGAACTACATAGGGAGACCTGTACCAAAACACCAATACTGATAATAGCAAAATAAAATGGAATAAGTTGAAGCCTCTTCACATTCTAAAGAACTGAAATTCTCTCCTTATTTCGTGATGTTATCAAGAACCTGAGGACGGACTTCACTGACATGCAGATACACCCATGGAGAGAACCCAGGAGAGAACTAGGTCTCAACTCCATGATTAAAATATAAGATGGGGCCAGGCAGGGTAAGCCTAGCACTGGAAGAGGCTGAGGCAGGAAGATTACAAGTTCAAGCCCAACCTGGGCAACTCAGCAACTTAGCAAAATCCTGTCTCAAATTTTAAAAAAAATATGTTTTGTAAAACTAGGGATAGAGCTTAGTAGGAAGGACTTGGGTTTAATCCCTAGTAACCCATAACACACACACACACACACACACACACACACACACACACACACACACACCACATAATGGCTCCAGGGAGAGGCATCAGCACTGGAGCAGAAGGAGCGAACTCACCCATAGGAAAACAGGCAGCAACTACCACATGGGACCCTTTTCACAGGTCTGCCTTACTCTCTCAATGGATAGAGAGAGAGAGAGAAAAGCAGCTACCAGAACACAAATCCCAAGTCTGAGATACTATGCTGTTTTAGAATTCTAAAGTGCAAAAGGCTGCTTGAAACTCGGTATTCCCCATGTATTTCATCCGGATAATAAGAGATTATTGGGAAAGGAGATAGAGAGCCCATTCCACACTCCCCTACCCTAACTCAACCTTGCAGCTTCCTGTCAAGCACCTGCCCATCCCAGTGTAAATTGAGAGGGCACAGAGTTTGACTCTAAGAAACCATAGGCTGATGCCCTCTTTTATCCATGAGAGAGGAGCTAGAAACACTCTGCTGAACCCATGGAAATTACACCTAAGATTATTCCCTAAACTATATCTTTACCCCTTCTTCTAAACACAACAGCCTTTCACAACCACTTCTGAAAAACTACCCAAGGCTCTCAGATAACTTTATTTAATAACCCCAAAGTTTCTTCCTAACAGATACCATCTATATAATTCAAACAGCCTCAACCCTTTGGCAACTTTTCATTGTATTTGTATTTACAAAAAGCCAGAAGCTCTTTAATAAAGTCACAGTAGAAAGGTTTAAACACGGAAACTGCTGTCTCAGGCATCAAAAGCTACAATGGACCTTTTAGAAAGGAAAGCAATCTAGTAAGTTCATTGTAAACTTATTTATATTACTTAGATTTGATTTATAATACATGCTACTTAGGAATTACATTTCCAAAATGAACAATGACTTGTCTCAAACTGTAAAGTCCTATACACAGTTAATTTCAAGGGGCAACGTTTTGGACCAAGTAAAGAGATGCTGTGCTATAAAAGAATTTGTATACAAGATGATCTTCCTGTTGAACATCAGAAACCATAACAGGGAAGATCTGTAATTTGTGATTAAAAACACTGGAGTCAAATTTAGTTTTATTTGAGACCAAGTCACAATTGCTCTGTATTTTTTACCTTTGTTATCATCATAGAGAGGTCAGTTTACAAACTTGTGCTTGAATAAAACATTTTTAGATTCTAGTAATCGGCTTCATAGTTTCCCGCTAGTTAAAACTGAATCTTTTTTAAAATGAAGACTCACATATTTCAATATATGTTTCCTTATCAAAGTGAGGACTTATATCATTTTTGTTTCTGTGCCTTTCAGATCCTCCAACACTTGCTTATTCTCTCCCCACAAAACTTTTCTAAAAGCCCTGTTGCTAACAGTGTCCCCTGTGGCCTCCAAGGACAACATATATACTCTTGTTTGAATGATTATATGTATGTTGTACACCAGACAAAGCCTTTCAGTCTATTTTGTGTGGGCCAGAGAAATAATCAGTGTGCAGCCTTGGACATCATCCCTGCCTACGAACACTCACATGACAGCAGCCAAGTTACAGTCCCCATCAGCTCTTTGGAATCGACACGTAGTCACTCTTTCTAGAAGCCTTCTGGAAATATGATGTGAAACCTCAGTGCAACAGCTGGAAGCCATGGGAAGTATGGCTAAAAGAAGAAAAAAAGGAAATGTTAACTATTGCTGTGTAACTCAGACTGGCCTTGAACTCACTATGTAGCCCAGGCTGACCTTGATCCTCCTGCTTCTGCACCCCTTTCCGCCAGCTGCTGGGATTACACGAGTGTGCTGTCACACCCGGCTAACCCTACAAAATTTCTCGAAAGGAAACGGCGCTCTGGAAATCAGAACCAAGGCCCATAGGAACACAGAAGATAGAGAAATTAAATTCACTAAGGGAAGACAGGCTAGGTAATAGGGGATGTGAAATTTGGGCTGCATTTTAAAGGTGTCAGAGTTCATCTGCATGAAAAGGGGAGTGGAACATTCTAAGCAGGAGGAGCTACATGCTCAGAGCACTTTGAGTGGAAGAAAACAGAATGCTTGTCCAGATTGTGTATCTTACAAAACCCTTGATCACATCCATAGAAGATGGTGTTTTAGACAGAGGCAAATCTCACCAGACAAGATTCTTGTCAACACTTATGAAGGAAGCTCTGGGCTGATCTCAGGCCATCTTCAGTTCCCGAGCCCAGGACAGATGCACTAACCCTAGTCTCAGAGCCCCAAGGAGGATCTATATGAATTTAACTGGAGCTCTTCCCCTCTAGAAAAAAAAAGCCTCTTAGCTTTCCTTCCTGGCTTCTGTAAACTGAATAGCTTAATACTGCTCCCTTGGGAATTGCATCAAGGCTTGAAATGTAGATGAATAAAAACCAAGCTTTAGTACAACAAAATGTTTCTTTTAACTCTCCGAGTAGAATACACATATATTCTCCGAGTATATTTCCATTATACATCTGTGTAAATTTATTTACAAAAAGTTCTCCTTAACTTCTAAACCATGCATTTTACTCAATAGTTGTAGTTGGAACACAGCCACACCTATGATATTCAAGTTCTGCTCAGTCCCACTTTTAATTTAGCTGTCAGGCAAGTCTGCAGCAGCCTAAACAGGAAAATGTTTGCAAGTGCAAGCCATTTTATGCCATGATAGTCTTCTTTTCTTCTTAACCTAGATATAAAAATGGATTTTTCCTTTTGTCTTGCATGTGAGTGCATACAGAGGTACACAAAGCGCCAATCAACCAGATTCATTCGAACTGGAAAAGTATAATTTGCTCAGCAAACATTTACTGAGTGCCCACTCTGTGACAGACCTTGAACTCTGCATTTGAAGTGGTGAAAAAACAAGGCATAGTCTCTGTTCTTGTGATGCTTAGGCAGATAAACAAATAATTACAGCACAGCAAAAAAAAAAAAAAAAAAAAAAGTGAGTTGGAGTGTAGCTCAGTGGTAGTGTGCTTGCTAAGCATGCACTAAGCCATAGATCTGATCCCCATACCAAAATCAAATGTGTTAACAGAGATATGTCCAAAATGCTACTGGCTTATAAATGAATACAGCCAGATAAAAAAGCCACACATTATAGGACTCCATTTATTTGAAATGTCCAGAATAGACAAATCCACAGAAAATAGATTATTGGTCCAAGAGGTTGGGAGGAAGGAATGAGAAGTGTCTGCTAACAGGTTCAGGATTTCCTTTTGGTGATGAAAACATACTAGAGTTAGGTAGTGGCGAAGATTGCATGATTCTGTAATTTATACTAAAAATCACTGGAGTTTGTATTTTAAAATGGTAAAGTTTATGGCAGGTGAACACTGCCCTTACATTTAATGCACTGACTCCTAAAACTACCTGTTCCTTCCTTTACCTATACTGTGTGGCCTCTTCTCTGAGCCAGTCTCTTTGAGTATCCCAAACAAGGCAGAGTACTGAGTTAGCCCACATACCCATCCTATATTCATTCACCCGTCTCACTCCATGTGAGTCATGATGCTCTACTCTGAGGATAGAAAGTTGAAGGGTTTCAAGCCTCAGAGAGCTATGACTTAGACCTCTGCTATTAGTTGTGACACAGACAACTCTAAAATATGAAATGTCCTTTTCAGAAGCATTGTAGGAGTGAAGAATCATAGAATGTATTAGTCAGTTTCGCATTGCTGAGACAGTGTCCAACACTAGCAATTTAAAGGAGGAGAGGTTTATTTTGGCCCCGTGGTTTCAGTCCATGGTCAGCTGGCTCCAAGGCAGACATAGGATGGCAGAGGGGCCTGGCAGAGGAATAGGTGCTCAACTCAAGGCATCAAGATGCTGGAAGGCAGGGGTTTTCAGAGACAAGAACACATCCCTTTTGGTAATTCTCCCAGTGATTTGTCTCCAACCAGGCTTCTCCTCCTAAAAACAAGTCAGCTAGCTCACCTCCAAGGACCAGTCACCATCCAAATACATGAGACATTTCAGGGACATTTTAGATATAAGTCATAACATAAGTAAACCTGTGTTAAAGAATATAAGTTATCCAAGTGCTGATGCCTATTTGAGCAAAAGCTTTTAACCCCCCCACCCAAGTTGTTAGCACCTGTATGAGCTCAGTAAAGTGGATTAGATTTCTCATCTATAGAGGTACGACTGGCTCACCTCGAGATCACTTAAGTCAGATTAATTATCAAAAGGTAAGAAGCAGTTCAGCATTTAGAACACGTTGGGCGATTCTACGGGTGCTCTCATGACGTAGTTCAAACAACTAAGGAGCTAGGCATGGGGAGTTAGGCAATGAAAAATGTAAACTGTAAATTGAGGGCAAAGCTAAAATTCCGTTAGACAACACCGCCCCCTAGAGGTTCTCTTCAGCAAACGCCTAAACACTGCACCAGCACTCCGTTTTTAAAGAATGGTTGGCCACTCCCTCTGATTTCAATTACGACTCCAAAATTTTCACTCCAGACTTAGGGGTATCAGCTAGATTAGAAAAAATAATAGGTGAAATTTCTTCTGAAGTTATTTTACTCAGATGATACTTTTACTTGGTTGGGGAGGCAAGCTGCTAACAGCTTAGGAAGTTTTTTTCCTCTTTAGAACTGTCATTCTTTTTTAATTTTTTAATTTACTTTTTAAATTAGTACATATTTGTCATACATAATGATCACATTTATCATAGGGAATTTGTACCTGTATATAATACATCTTAATTCTTTTTATTTTTTCGCCATTCCACTGCCCTTCCCCTCCCCATTTACAAAAGCTTTGTTTTTATTTTTTCCTTCCATTCCCCATGTTTTCTTTTCCCTTGTCCTTTTCCTTGTTCTCTTGCTATCTGAACATGTTCTTCCTACTTCCCAATATCTATCCTCCATTGTACTCCTAATTTACCCTTTAGGTTTCTCACACCAGAGAAACAATGTGCTATTTAACCCTGTGTGTCCAATAATTGACAATGTGAAATAGGAAGAGAAGGGCTAAAGGTGGGGGGAGTAGGAAGAGTAGGGGAAAGGAAAGAAGGAAAAAGAAAAAATATCAGAAAAGGAAAAATGGAAACAAAGTCTTTGTAAATAGGGAATGATAGAGGGGGTGAAGGGAGGGCAGGGGAATGGGGAAAAATAAAAACCAAGATACATTATGTAAAGGTACAAGATCCCAATGATGAATTTAACTGTATTGCATACCTAAAATGTACTAATAAACTGAATTTAAAAAAACCTTGTGTGTCCAATTTATTTCACTTGAGTGTGGTCTCAAGTTGCACCTATTTAGAGTTTAGGAAATTTAAAGTCTTCTCACCTTGAGCCAGGGATTTATCTCAGTGGCATCGTGCCTGTCTGTCAAGCACAAGGTTCTGAGTTCAACTGCTGGTACAAAAAGGTCTTCCCACTTTTATGCCACTATTTCATTGGGCCAAGAATATCATGGGCAAAAAACCTACTTTAGTTCCCACATTGGAGGTCACAAAACATACGCCTGTCTGATAGAGCAGGGGCCCCATGGAAACAGATGAAAATATTGCAAATAAAAGAGAAGTCTCACAAAGAGGGCTTGGTAAAGCAGCCATGCCTGGAGGTATGAAGAAACAAGCATGTATAGTCGGCTGCCAGACTTTACCTGATTTCGCCCAATTCTTTCCCTGACTGAGGGAGAGCTGCCAGGCTGCTTTGGAAAGGACACAGCTCCACGGATCCACACAGGAATTCCCTTTGAAAAGTGATTTGTGAGCTCAGTGGGTGCATGTTCTCACTGTTCTGAGAAGCAGCCACTAAGGACCCAAAATTTGAGAATTACTAAGAATATGAGGATAACAGAATCTTAAGAAAACTGTATAGTTACTCCTAGATAAGAAAGTGGGGCCTCAGAACTTAATTTCTATTCACTGGCCAGTGAAGCCCAGATCCTAGCAATCGACTATGTGTATTTGGTGAATTGAAGACAATATTTGAATTATATTTGAGTCATTTTTGACATTGTGTTAGGCTTTGCTTCATTAAAAAGGGTGATTTGCTTCTGTATAGTATGTGTGAAATAAAGTAGAAGGAAAACATTTCTAATATAAGGCGGGGTGCAGCAAGGGCTAACTGATAAGAGCATCTGGAACACTGAGAAGCAGAAGCGATGTTACAGTACTGAGGCTCAAATGCACTTTTTTTACCAAAGAGGTGGCATCTGAATTTGGGACTCGAAAAATGGAAAGTGTGAATAGGGCATTTAAAGGTAGAGGAGACGAAGGGTGACGACAAAAATATGGTAAAAGAACTTCGGCAAAGGTAGCTAGAATATAGACTTTATGTGTGCAAATTTTAAGAGAACAATATGAAAAGTATGTTGGGATCAGATACCTTACCTTTTATTCCAGAAACACAAGTTCAGTCCCCGGTACCCAAAAGAAAAAGAAAGAAATCTGGAGCCAGACATTAGATGAGCGCGGAGGGGATTTCGGCACGTGGCAGCGGTCTGGTAGGCCTGGAGCACTGCAACGCGGGCTCGAGCAAGGCTGGACGGCTTTGCGGCGTCCTGGGGTGGGATGTGAGGAAGAGGGCGACCGCTGCACAAGTACCGGCCAAGGCAGAAGATGGCCAAGGAAAGGTGCCAGAAAAAGTCCTTTCAAGACAGCTTGAAGACATAAAGAAGCGAGCGAAAGAGAAAAGGAATAAAAACTTGGCAGACAGTGGCAAACGCAGGGCCTTCGTACTTGCACCGGGCCAAGTGGTTACCAACTGCCGAAAAATTACCAAGACAACAACAGAATGTTAGTTTTAGATTTGGAAAATGAAAAATCCAAAGTGAGAGAAGCCCAAGACATCATCCTACAGCTAAGAAAAGAATGTTACTACTCTACATGTCAGCTATATGCACTGAAAGAAAAACTTGCTTCACAACAAACAGAAAACACTGCTCAGAAGCCATTGCCAGGGAGATGGGATGGGGAAGAGAATGAGGAAAGCAATGACCCAGGAAGCACGTCTCTCAGGAATGGGCTCCCAGGGACGACAGCCCCAGATTCATTTGCAAAGGATTTACCAGCAAATACTTGGGTATACTTGAAACTAGTTAGTTGGAAGGGCAGTCTTTTGAACTGGAAAGAATCTGATATGTAGAGCCAGTAGTAAACATGAATTTACCAAAAAATGAATGAAAAAATGTCTGTCAATGGAACAAATTAATTTATCACCAAGGTTTATTCAACCAAAAAAGTTTACCAAGATGAAAGAAGTCATTTTAGAATCTAAAGCTGATAAAAAGTCAGCATAGAGATATACTACGAAAAAAAGAAGAAAAAAAGAAAAGCTAACAGAAGAAAATCTAAATCTACATCAAAGTATAAAGGGAACAAAAGTGAAAATCAAAACAGTTTGCTCCCCAAAATTGGATGAATCTATCAGTTCAATACTTACAATTTTAATTTGTAAAAGAGTTTTCATCTCACTCCTTTCTGACAAAACAACAACAACAACAACAACAAAACCCAACACTGATTCTAATAGAGAAGAAAACGTTAAGCCTGGAGTGAGCATCCTTGAATCCAGCAGTTCCGGAGACGATTCTGATGATCTCTATGTGCCCCACTGCAAGAACACTCAGAATCTCACAAGCACATCAGGGAGACCGGTCACCAGGCCTCAACCTAAAAGAGCGCTAAACTGCACAGATGAACAAGAGATGGAAGATTCTAAGCCAACAAAAACTCCTACTAGTGTACCACCTAAGATCCGCCCATCACCTCCATCACCTCACTGTAGCCTGAAGGACACCAACAATGTTCCCTTGTTACCCGAAATAAAAACCAGGAGACTTTGTCTTTCTCCAGAAAAGAAGAAAGAAAGCACAGCCATGAGTCTGCCTAAGCGTAGGTGCCCAAGCAGCATGAATTATAAGGAGCCAACACCAGCTTCGAAGCTAAGAGACACTTTCACAGTTTTGTGTTTCTCGAATTCTCCTATTTTCAAGCAGAAAAAGGATTTGAGACATTCTAAAAAATATATAAAGCAAATACAATAAGTATCTTTTTTGAATGCTGCTTAAATTTATCCTACATCCTTTTCTGTTGCTCCAATAGAGAATCTGTAAGATAGTACACAAGTGGATGGAACTATTGCCTTAGAATATTCTCTTAACAGGACTCTAGATGCTGAACATTTCTTCAAAACCATACTTTATAATTTAGGTTTCGTATACTGCCTAAACCCTTTGATTTTATTCAAAATATATCCTATACAAATATTTTGGAAATTATAAAATCTTCTGGCATCTTTTATTTTTCCCTTATAATATAGTGTTTTTTTAAAAAAGATTTTTTAAAACACCTTATATAGTTTTTGAGTAAAATAAATCATAGAAGATATACCGTAAGGTTATGGATCCCTCATATTACTGTTGTTTTTGGTTCCTCAGATGAAATGTTTACAAAATCACAACTAGAGAATCAATGATTGCTCAGACTTAAGGACTAGTCGAGGGAATAGTTATGAACCCTGAGTATGTACTCAAATGGTCACCTCAGAAAAACCATAAGTTACTATGCCATGGACTCTCAGAGCTCCCTACTTAGGCACAAATCTCAAATATTAAATATGTGAACGCTAAGAGCTTTTCTCTGTTTTTGATCAACCAATGAAAGGAAAGAAGATTCACAGTGTTTGATATCTATCATTGTATGTACCATTTTAAACTTTTAAAAAATCACTACAGGTGGTTCCTTTTTTAGAAACAATAAAATTTATATAAAATAGAAAAAAATCTCTGGTCTATACTTAATTTGTTTCATATACATTTCGTGGCCCTGAGTGAGAATTTCCCTAGAATAGCTCTTAAATTTTAACATGCATTAGACTCCATCAAGTTGTTAATGCCTCCTCCACCTCAGGCTTCCTCAGCACATGTAACTGCTGGTCCTAGAACACACTAACAATCATGGCTCTGGAAGTATAGGCACATGCATGGAATTGCTGGGGTCTTCAACTGTATTTGGTCCTGACAAACTGCTGTACAAAAGTAACTGTCAATTTGCACTTCTATCTGCACTGTATGAGAGTTGTATGGCTTCAATTTTTAAATATCTTATTGAATCAATGTTGATATATCCGTTTTTTAAAGAAATTGTCCATCCTATCTGCAGCTTCTAATCTATTATCATAAAATTGCACAGTATTATCTTACTGTATAGTTATGGCACCCTTTTTATTCTTCTATACTGTTCTTAGAGATTCCTGTGCAAGGCAACAGTTTAAAAGTTTATATCTAAGTAATGAATAAAATGTATTTATAAACTTGAAATACTCAGCTTAGTATCTTAAAAAATGCATTAACTCATGGGTTAAAGTGGAAATCACAAAATATGAGAAACAGAAAGTACTACTTGATACAGTTAAATGTAGCTTTAAGGACGTTTGTTTAAGCACACATATGCACACGCATACACACACACCACACACCAAGTGTGTGCAATTCAAAAAAAGCCGGGAAAGAAGTCAGAGGAAACAGCCAAACGAACGAGGCACGACGTCGTGGCGCTTTACGGCTGTCGTGCTAGTGCACCCGTTGTCGTGGTGCCCTGGGCGCCAGAAGCTGGGAGTGCGAAATAATGGCAGGAGCCCCAATTAAAAGAGAAGAAAGCCTAGCCTCAGCCAATAGGAAATGGGCAACATTCACGTCCTTTACCAGGGCGACACCTTTTGCCCTTGTGGTTACCGCTTGGAGCCACTGGCGAGGTGGGGAGGCTTTTCTTCGGGGGCCTGGTCGCGCGCGGGGAAAGGCCAGCGCCAGGCGG